TGAGCTACAGGTGTTGAGCCCATATTTTCCAGATTTTTTTATGAGCATATTAATTATTTAAAAATGTAGACAATTTACCACAATTTTTTTCAAGTTCTATCAATAGAAAAATGTTAAAATTTTATCAGAAAAATCAAGATTTTTATGTATTTCATCACTAGAAATAGATTATCTAAAACTTTAAGTCAAAATAAACCAATGGTATTTCTCCACAAGTTATATGTTAATATAAGATAATTTTTGTACAGAAATTCAGCTGTGAAATAATAAAACTGTTTTCCATATAAAAAATAAATAAACAGGGCAGTGCCTGTGGCTCAGTGGGCAGGGCGCCGGCCCCATATACTGAGGGTGGCAGGTTCAAACCCAGCCTGGCAAAACTGCAACAAAAAATTAGCCAGGCGTGGCAGGTGCCTGTAGTCCCAGCTACTCAGGAGGCTGAGGCAAGGGAATCGCCTTAGCCTAGGAGTTGGAGGTTGCTGTGAGCTGTGACGCCACAGCACTCTACCAAGGGCGATAAAGTGAAACTGTCTCTAAAAAATAAATAAACAAATAAATAAACCAATGAAGAAAAAGTTATATTTTAAAAATGAATACAAGATGGTGGTACCTGTGGCTCAGTGAGTAGGGCTCTGGCCCCACATACCAAAGGTGGGGGGTTTGAACTCAGCCCCTGCCAAACTGCAACAAAAAATAGCCGAATGTTGTGGTAGGTACCTGTAGTCCCAGCTACCCGGGCTGCTGAGGCAGGAGAATTGCCTAAGCCCTAGCGCTGGAGTTTGCTGTGAGCTGTGATGCCACGGCACTCTACCAAGGGTGACAAAGTGAGACTCTTTCTTTTCTTTTCTTTTTTTTTTTTTTGTGACAGAGCCTCAAGCTGTCCCCCCTGGGTGGAGTGCTGTGGCATCACAGCTCACAGCAACCTCTAACTCCTGAGCTCAAGCAAGTCTCCTGCCTCAAGCCTTCCAAGTAGCTGGGACCACAGGCGCCCACCACAGCACCTGGCTCTTTTTTGGTTGCAGCTGTCATTGTTGTTTTTGGCAGGCCCGGGCTGGATTCAAACGCACCACCTTAGGTGTATGTGGCTGG